ATATTCAATATTGCCTTCAATATCTTGCAAGTGCAACTGAATATATATTTAGTACTGCAACTGCATGTTTGGTAAGCTGAAATGAATTCTTTACATTTTCCAATTATTAATGTAAGACACCAGCTATTGTTTCAGTTCCTCCAATGCTATTTCAATAACATTGTCCATGTGTGTCACATGCACCCGTGGTATTTCTTGGATTCTACCATACTATGTTTCAAGCAAATGTCTGTATGAGATTTGGGGGGAAATGGGAGGATAGGTAACATTTTCCATTCTTATTAATCTTGATTACATTTGTCAACTTTACACATTCTGAGTTTATAATAACCTGAGCATTTGACCCTGAGGTATGAGTATACTATTGCACCTCAGTGCTTGTTTCTAAATAACATTTCCACTGTTCCTAATGTATAGATAGAGTTGCTATATTTATGGGGTAATAATATATGGTTGGGGTAATCTCTTTGAATGTATAATACACTGATGATGACCATTTATGCATAATTTCTTTGTTCATACAGAATCCTCATTTGTATAATGGGTCTCCTTTAGCTGAAATTTGATATTTATGATCATTGCATATTGGGGTGTTGCTGTGGTGGGACAGACTATCAGTGATGTTCCATCTTAAAGTTTAATTATGTGTAGTGAGCTATCTGCTGACACTGAATACCCAGTAGGTCTAGATGGTTAGTTTATGCTATTGTTTGTTGATAGAAACTTTCAGCATAAAACAATCCAGTTTGTCTGCTGTTTCTGATGTCCTGCCATGCACCATCTAGTAGCTGTTGTATTTTATTACATTGTGTTTGAAGCTTATTCTGAATCACATTATATCTAAGAATTTGAAAATTAGTTTTAATTATGCCCAACTTATGGTTTAAGTGGTAATTGATTTATTCTTGGTATTTCTGCCAGTTGTCGCTTTCCTCACTACAAAAACACTCAGGGTCACTACAGAGGAACTGGGATGCACGAAATAACCACACAAAAGACAGAGATACCTTATTCTTTGGGGGTCCTGTGACGGCTCCTCTGACCTTAAGGGTCCACAGAAAGACAGCAAGGAAGTGCATGCTGAACCCTTTTATTGAGGAGAGGCCATTCAAATAAGGCAAGGGATCAGGTGTCAGGGGGTTGAGTCTAGCTTCATGATGTCTACTGTCAGCAGGCTGACTAACATCTAGGAAGGCCACACCCAAAGGCAGAGCAAGAGAAGGGGACACAAAAAGGGTGTTTCCATGGAACATTCTATTCCAAACAGGGCAAAGGGGTAATATCTACAAAGGAACAGGTGAGAGTAATTCGATCCCTGGGGCTGCAGGAAGGCACACCTATGCCTGAAGACACATTCTGCTACTTAGAGGATGGGGGCAATATCGAGGTCACTATGAAAGTGACCAACAGAGCCTCTTTCCATCACAGGAAGGAGAATGCCAGTCTTTCAGGGAGACTGCCTCCCACAGCCAGTCTTCCTGTTTTTATAATATGGCATAAACTTATTTCCTGAATGGGCTAATTCAAGATTGGAAATTCTTTTACTTCATTAGTACATTATTGTGGCTCTCAATTATACTTTTTATTTCATTCCCTGAATTCTTTAAAATTCTTTAATGGCAAGATTTCTGCTTCATTCTTTTTTTGTATCTCTTGAATATCTCCTTCAGATGATAAATTGTTTTCCTTCTTTGAATTTTTTGGCCATGTTCTCATGTATCATGCTGAGTTTTCTTAATGTCATTATTTTGAATTCCTTATAATGCATTGCACAAATTTTCTTTTATTTGGGGTTTGTTACTGAAAAATTATGATGTTTCCCTGGAGGTGTCATTTTCCCTTGCTTTTTTTGTGTTGCTTGTGTTCCTACATTGATATCTGTGCAACTAATGCAAGGGATGCCTTTCCAATGTTATGGTAATGTTTTTCCCCACTGTAGGGAGAAATTATTTTTCCTGTGGAAGGTGCTAGAATATTGTTTGGGTGTGTTGGGGTTACCCTTGATTTTGGGTGAGCTCAGTAGTGTGGTCTCTGTGTCTTCAATTGCACAACTCATTATCATTGTCTAGTTGCCTCCATGGTTTGGGCTGTAGGTGCTCATGACTGAAGTGGTGTTATTGGTTTTATTGAATTGGACAATTGGTATTGGAAAGAAGCTTATTGGTTTTATTGATCTTTTCATCTTTTGGCCTCGTTGACTTTCTCTATTGATTTCCTGTTTTCAAGAACTCGTAAGAGTTTTTGCCCCCCCCCCCTTTTTCTGCTCTTTTTTCCCTTCAAGCAGAAGATTTAATTTATTCTTCTTTTTCTAGTTTTCTAACACAGAAGCTTAGATGCTTGATTTTAGATCTTTTTTCTTTTCTAACGTGCATTTGGGCTATAAATAGCTCATAAACACTGCTTTCTTAAGCATTCTACAACTTTTTCTAGGTTGTGTTTTTATTTATTTCAAAATATTTTTAAGTTTTGTGATTTCTTTTATGGCCCATATATTATTTAGAGGTGTGCTATTCCATGTCCACATATTTTGGAACTATCTCCCCCCACCCCGCTATTGATTCTAGTTAATTCCATTGTATTTTGAAAGTTCTTATATGATTTCTTTGAAATTTATTAAGATGTACTTTACAGCCCATAATTTATCCTGTTTTGGTGAATGTGAACTTGAGTAGAATGTGTATTCTTTGGTGGATGAAGTAGTTTATGTAGTATATGATTAAGGATGCTGTTGAGTTCACCTGTCCTCATTTTATGCCCAATGAATCTTACCTTTTTTTTTTTGTATTAGGGATTGAACCCAGGAGTGTTTAACCACTGAGCCACATCCCCAGCTCTTTCCATTTTGATACATCGTCTCATTAAGTTGCTAAGGCTGGCTTCGAACTTGTGATCTTCCTGACTCAGCCTCTGCAGCTACTAGGATTACAGGGATGCATCACCATGCCCAGCTGAATCTGAACATGTTGAAGTTTCCAAATATGATAACATATTCATCTATTTCTCCTTGCAGTTCTATCAGTTTTTGTCTATTTTTGTTTTGAATTCTGATGTTAAATTTGGCTACCCCAGCTTTCTCTCTCTCTTTTTTTTTTTGAGAGACAGATTTTTTTTTTTTTTTATTTTTTAGGTTTTTTTGGTGGACACAACATCTTTCTTTGTATATGGTGCTGAGGATCAAACCTGGGCCACACGCATGCCAGGTGAGCGCACTACCGCTTGAGCCACATCCCCAGCCCTCAGCTTTCTTTTGATTAGTGTTAGCATTTCTTTTTCTTTTTATCCATTTACTTTTTTTTGTGTGTGTGTGCTGGGGATTGAACTCAGGGGCACTGGGTCACTGAGCCATAGCCTCAGCCCTATTTTGTATTTTATTTAGGGACAGGGTCTCACTGAGTTGCTTAGCACAGCACTTTAGCTGAGGCTAGCTTTGAACTTGCAATCATCCTTCCTCAGCCACCTGAGTTGCTGGGATTACAGGCATGTGCCCAGCTTCACCCATTTACTTTATATTTTATTCATTTATTTTTTATGTGGTGCTGAGGATCGAATCCAGTGTCTTACATATTCTAGACAAGCACTCTACCACTGAGCCACAGCCTCTCATCCATTTACTTTTAATCAATATATGTCTTTATAGTTAAAGTGGTTTCTAAAAGCTGGGCACTGTTGTGCATGCATATGATCCCAGATACTCAGGAGTCGGACACTTGAGGATTGTGTGTTTGAGCCCAGCCTGGCTGACATAGTGAGACTCTGTCTCAAAATTAAATTAAAATTAAAAAGTGGGTTTCTTTTGGATAACTGTCAGAAAAGCATTTTTTACCTCTGGTCTTATACCACACTCAACACAGACTTGTGATACCAGGTGTGTGGGGATTTCCTCCCCACCAGCAAGTAAGCAATAAATTCTGCAGTGGTCACCGGCATGGCCTCTAATCTAACTCAGTTCAGACTCTGTTTTCCTGGAAACCTATTAGTTCCAGGAGTTTTTTTTTTTTTTTTTTTTTTAATCAATCCTTTGTTATCTTCTCCACAGGCAAACATCTCATTTTTCAAACAAAGTTTGGTTCTTTCTTATGACTAGTGAGTAGCTCAAACTTCCTCCCTTACTTCAGATGCCAGCCACAAGCTCCAGATGGTTTTACCTGTGCTTCTGAATGAACAGCTGCGAACTGGGGTTCCTACAACCCTGCTTGGGTTCAATTAATTTTCTTGAATGACTTACAAAACTTGGAAACACATTTACTGGGTTATTGAAGAGTAAATTATAAATAATAAAAGAGATGCATGTGATGAGGTATCAGGGAAGGACACAGAGCTTCCACGCCCTCTCTGGGGGCACCACCCTCCAGGAATATTCACATGTTCAGATATCTGTAAGCTTCTCAAATGCTGTCCTTTTGGAGTTTATGGAGATTTCATTACAAAGGCACGATTGCTAATAGACTTTGTGGGGAAACCCAGACAGATCTGTATATTCACATTCTTCTTGGCTTTCTGTGGAGCTGCCCTCCTTCTAGGGTAAGGGATAGGACCCCTGTTCCCAACTCATGAATATTCCTTTATCTTAAAATATACATTCTGGTTCACTTTTTTATTTGCTTACATTATTTTTTAATATTTTCCTACTACGAATTATGTGGGCCAAGCTCATCCTCAAATACCTACCTGACAAATGATATCTGGGCCCAGGAGAGCACTAAAATATTAACAGACTGGGCCTTAGATTTCTTGCTCAAAAAAATCTTCCCTATTTCCATCAATCCTGGACTGTATCCTCCAGTTCCTCATGCAATCCTAATCAAATCCCCCACTCAAAAGACCCACCTTAACTCAAAAAATTTTCAATAATTTCTAACCTTACATTGGCAGCTCCGACACTTAGTCCTGTCACAATGCCAATGCTGGGGAGGTGGTGCTCTCTTAATACAGGAGATGATTCCTTGCCGGGTTGTAATGTTGGTCTTTGGGGAGCCGGTATTCAGCACGAGTGTTCTTACCTTCGGTGTCCAGTGCAGCCCAGCCTGCCATTCAAGATTCTCATTCCCGTTTGCTTTCCCTAAAAACCGTGGATTTGAAACTGACTTTCATCATGTGAGCTTTGCTCTTCTCCCTCCCGCTCTCTCTTCCTTCCTCCTCAGTATTAGGGGTGGAATAGGAGCACTCTACTAGCCCTTTCTAGTTTTAACTTTGACAGTCTTGCCCTGCCATCCAGGATGTCCTTGAACTTGCAGTCCTGCCTCAGCTTTGGAGTAGCTGGGATTATAACCTACACACACACACAACTGTTTTCGCATGAGCTTTAAGAAACGGACAACAAAAAGGAATCAGCCAGAGAAGTGAATAACCCCAAACCCAACTCGCTTGAGTCAAACAGATACCCGTAAGGCGCAGCGCTGTCCTGCCAAGGTTCTGGGAAGTATAGTTCTGGAGGAGCGTGATGCCAGGCACTTCCGCTTAGGGATTCTGGAAAGTGTAGTCCCGGAAATACGTTTTCCAAGCACTTCCTTTTAGGGATTCTGGGAAGTGTAGTTCTGGAGGTGTGTGATGCTGGTTGCTTCTGCTTCTGGGAAATGGAGTCCAGGGACTGTGGGCGGGAGGAGGCACTTCCGCTCGCAGAAGGCGAGGTCGGCTCCGCGATTACCCTGGGGGAGGTGAGCCAGCCGCCGGGCCCTGCGACCTCTCCGAGCCCTCTCAGTCTGGGCTTGAGGCCAGCGGTGACCTGGTCCGGGGCCTGGATAAAAAAAGCCAGCGGGGAGGGCGGGGTTGCAAAGCGGCGGCGTTTTGCGTCCTCCGGGGCAGAGCTTCCCGTGTTGGGGGTGAGCTTGTGCGTGCAACAGTTTGAGGGTCTTCTGTGCACTCTGCTGCCACAAACCGCCTCACCACACCGCCGGACGTGCTTGTTCCTTGCAGTAAAGTGCTGGGCAAGTTAATCTCGTCTTGTCTCAGTTTCCTTATGGCTTTAAAGGTTAAGAGCCTGCCCAGCGGTGTTTTGCAAGAGTTCAGTGATTTTTTTTTACGTATATTAAATGCTTAAAAACATTTTCATGTTGCATGCTCTCCCTCTGTTGTAATACTCAGAATGGCACTGGTTTGGAAATTCCTCTGAGTCCAGGATGGAGTGGGAGCTCCACGTGCAGAGCCACTGTTGCCTTTCAGATCCTTGCCAGATATGGGGTTCTGGGTTTTCCGATCTCATTTTAAGAAGGAGTAGCGGATTGCTTCCAGTAGGAGCATGGAGAATGCCCTCTGTGTTTATCGAGACAGAGAAACTGTCATGCTCTGATCTCTGCTTTGCGGGGTGACTCCTTTAATAAGTGTTACAAAACACCATTTCTTAGAGAGTTTTAAGTTTTCGTTGGTCATTACCTTCATGCAGATGAAAAGAGACTTTGGTGAGGTTCTGCCAGCTTAATAATTTGCAAGGAGTTTTACCTATTAGAGGTAAAAAAAAAATTGACAATTAATTACTATTATTGATGGAACAAATTGTGAGACAACTGGCCACAATTACAGACTTTTCTGAGGGTAGTGTTTACTCACATGACAGTGATCACTCAATTCTGAGTTTCCTTAAAGATTCACTTTTTGAAAAGCACATTGCCATGGGCAGTTTTATGAAACATAATAGCGCTTGCTTGTCTGAGACTATAGGAAATAGCATCTGAGTATTATTATCCCTATTTACAGGTGACCGAGGTGAGGCACAGAGACATTCATAACTTGCTTAAGCTTTACACTGCTGTCTGTAGAAGATAAGTACAAATGTCAGAATTTGAACCCATTACGTTACCCTGTGTGTCTGCTTCCCATTTTTTGATACCCAGGTTCAGAGGTGCTTAGTGTGCTAGGAACCGCATCTGGGTTAGGACTGTAATATGGATGGTTAATGAGCAAAGGCAACTGTCCGTAGCTGGCTCCTGGCTCCTGTTCTCTTCACTAACCTGTGTGCAACTATGTCGCCTGCAGAAAGGGGCACTTCTTTCTCACATGAAGTGCTTGTGAACTAACTGCACCCCTAGCACTCTCTCATGATGTCTTTCCTTTTGCAGAACTCTGCCTTTTCCCAGAAGGAAGAGGAGAACAATGACCAAGATCCAGGTCAGTGGGGTTGGCCTTTCTGTTTCTTAAAATGACATCTCCTTTCACAAAGATCAGACATACTTTTATCTTGTTTGGGAAGGGTCAGAGAGCACCACACACACTTGAGGGATTGTTATATGCCAGGACCCTGCCTTTTATTTCCAAATATTAGTGTAAAAACTAACAGGTTTTTTTTCAAATGAAAAGCAATTCCTACTGAAGTCCACTCTGAGCCCAGCTGACATGTTCATGGCCTAAGCCAGGTGTTTCAGATGTTCCTTTCTGGTGAATGAAGAACCAGAAGAAATGGGAGTTCTCCCTTCAGGAATCTAAGGCCATACTGCATGTGTGCCTGGCACATCCAAATGGATGAAGGGCTCCAAATGTAGCTTTGTCCTTCACCTGGTCCCCTTTCTTACTGCCTTGCTCAGGTGTCCACTGGTCATTTATTATGTAGGTGCTGAAAATCCCAAAACAAATGCAGAAATAAGCAAAATCTTTAGAAATTTCCATGAAGAAAAGCACTATATACAAAGTCATGGGACAAGTAATAAATAGGGATGGAAATGTGAAATTGTACGTGCCTGAAAGAGGTTTAATATTCTTGGTAGGAATCTTCCTGATGCACAATATACTCCAGAATGACTGAGCAAAGTAGATGAATAGACAATATGTGAAGAAGCCTTTTTTTAATTAAATAAATGGAAGTTTTTAAAAAGAACTGTTTTATTACTTACCAAATTACCCAACATTTTAAAATTGAGGTAATGTTCAGTTTGGGCCAGAATTGAGAAGCTGCAGGATTTATGATCTCTTACAGGACAAGTTATTTGGGAAAATTGCTGTTATATTAGCAAAATAAAAGTGCAATTTTTTTTGACAGTGCAGTTACCACTCTTTGGAACTTATTCTAAAGAAATAATCAGACAAGTTTGGCTGAGACCTGTGTAAAAACCTGATTTTGTAGAATCATTTATAGTTTTTAAATTTTAAGTTTTCAAATTGTACATTATCTGGAATGACCAAATACACACAAAGTCATCAGTTTTATGTGCAACAATGAATATGATGAAATGGATGAAAATGATAATACTGATGATTGACATTTGTACATCAGGGACTCCCCTAAGTCCTTCACATGGTTTCACTCATCTCTTCAGGGGCCTAATGATGTAGGTACTGTTCTACAGATGAACAAACTGAAGTATCTCAATACTTTAAAAACTTCTCAAAGTTAGATGACTTGTCCAAGTCACAAAGCAAATAGAGGACAGAGTCTTTGAATGTGAGCTGAGGCAGTTGGTTTCCAGAGCCTGTGCTCTTAATCTTGGTCCTGAATGTAGCTGCAATTGACAGATATAGCCTGTTCCTGGGAAGACAGAACTAGTTACACACCTGCCCCAGAGGGTTACGGAGTGCAGTGATAAGGTTGACTGTCCTTTATCCAAAATGCTTGGGACCAGATTTCAAAGATTTTTGGAATATCTGCATAGATTTCTGTGGTTGAGCGTCTAATAAAAAATCCAGAGTACTCCAATATCTAAAACTTTTTAAGTAATGTTGTTGCTTGGAAAATGTCAGATTTCAGAGCATTTGGGATTGTGGGATGTGGTGTGCTCAACCTGTACTGCCCAGAGAGAGAAGGAAATAGTTCCTATCAGATGCTATTGGTACAAAATATGCACAAACTTTTTGACAAGATTTGGTACTCTCAAATTGTAACACGTAGGAACATCATGATTTAACAAAGGCAGTTATTGTAGGGACTTAACTGTGTGAAGGGCAACAAGTTACATGTACCAGGAGTTTTCTTTTTTACCTGCCAACCCCAAGCCTTTTGGGTATGATTGTGGAAGGAAAATAACAGGAACTTGCTAAAAGTGTTTCTCAGGTCCCAGTGGCCAGTGGGTGTAAGATTGAGGGTACACATGCTTGATGTTGTAGGAGGCAGTGACATTCAAGGACGTGGCTGTGGTCTTCAGCAAGGAGGAGCTGAGGCTGCTGGACTCTGCCCAGAGGAAGCTGTACCGAGATGTGATGCTGGAGAACTTCAGGAACCTGCTCTCAGTGGGTGAGGACAGGTGCCTGTGTAATTGGCATCAACCCTTTGAGCAGGGTTCTCGGTCTTGGCACTGTTGATATTTGGGGCTGGATAATTCTTTGTTGTGGGGGTGAGCCTGTGCACTTTAGGCTATTTAGTAGCATCTCTGACCTCTTCCCATGATAGTTTAAAGAGTAGAACTCCTCAGAACTCAGTTTTCCAGTTCTTTTGGAGAGTAGAGATAAGGTATTGCTGATGTTTGTTCTAAGGCAAACTTATCTTTTATAAATGAATTAGAAATGAGCAGTTGAGCTTAGGCTGCTTCTGGGTCTTCATTTCTTATCGATGGATCATGAAATTTAGTGAGTTGTGTCACATTTGTGTAATGAGAGGGTAACAGTGTTGGAGCTCCTTGGTGAGAATGCAGCGTGTTGTAGCAATAACTGTAGATGCCAGCAGTAGGGGACACAGGGCTGGCAGGGAAGTGATGGAAAGAGGCCCAGGGGCTGGGGTTGTGGCTCAGTGGTAGAGCGCTCGACTAGCACATGTGAGGCCCTGAGTTCGATCCTCAGCACCACATAAAAATAAATAATAAAACAAAGGTATTGGATACAACCCCAAAAGTAAATATTGAAAAAAAAAAAAAGAGAAAGAGAAAAAGAAACAGGCACTGGTTAGAAACTGAGCATTAATTCTTTTATCTCAACAGTGTGTATGAAGAATTTCTAATGATGGTAAATATTTCTTACCCTGTGTCATGATAGAAATGTTGGACAGATGCTGCTGGGGTGGGCAGGCAGAGCCTACAGTATGGGATCAGAATCAAAAATTTTCAGAACTTTTTGCCTTAAATATTTTCACTTAAATCATCTTTTCACAGGACATCAGTCCTTCAAACCAGATATGATATCCCAGTTGGAGCAAGAGGAAAAGCTCTGGATGAAGGAGATCCACACTCACACAGGTAGGCTCTCAGATGCGAGCTGCAGTGGAGTCATGGTGGGCCCATGGTCTGCCTCCATTTGGTAGGATTTCTTCTCCACCCTCCACCAGAGAGACCTCAAACCTGTCACACCACACCACTCTCCTCTGCAGACCCCCAAAGGCTCTCATTCCACCAGTAAGATCCAGCCTTTGTAAGGGGCTTGTAAGGCCATGGAAGATTTGTCATTCCCGTTACGTTACTATTCTCCATTTTTCTCCTGTGATCTCCCTCCTTGTTTATCTCTGCTATCCTTGTTGGTTCAGATATGATCATTATGGTTCTGCATCAGAGCCTTTCCTTTTTCTCTGGCTAGAATGTGTTTATCCAATAAACCTCCAACCCCTCTTCCTC